TATTCCAGCCTTTCGGACGCTACGCGAGAGATAATCGAAACAAAAAACAAATCCCGAAAGCCAGCGTTGCGCGTATCGGGCCGTCGAAGATACTCTTTTTTTTCGATTTTGACAAACCCAGGCTCGATTTCACTCCTTGTTCCATGTGTCTTTTGTTAACCCTTTTTCCGCCTCGATGCTCGAACGCGATTCGATAATTACTCTCCTTTCGTTGGAATATCAACGTGCTCGGAAATTCGGATCGATCGAGCGCGGAATTTTCCATATATAGGAGAATATCGATTCGGCCCGAATAATATTTCATTGTACACGGTATTTTCGTTTCGTCGTTACGCCGGTTTACGATCGCGGAGCAAAACAATCGCGGAGCTCAGGTAGTCAACCAGCGGTCGATTCTAGGAATCCTTGGTCCTTTCAATTAACGTAAACGTTCTGTTTATACTTTGTCCCCGAAGGAGACGTGCTTCTTCTTCCAAACAACGTTTCGTCGAAAGGCAAATCACGTTCGAGCGAGACCGAAATTATCGTCACCGCGGAACGATCGACAAGAATCCGAAAAATCCTCGAGCAGACAGTCGCTTTACGGTCGTCGCTGGTTGTAGACGGAAATTCGCTGTTCGGAGACATTTTATATTTATCGAACGCATGTGTGAGACTACGATCGAGCATTCATCACGATGACATCAGCTTCAAGTGAGTTGATAGTTTTCGAAAAATTAATTTACAAGTTCGAAGGTAGCTTTCACCCCTTGAATATTCATATCTGCCGATGGGGGAAAATACGTGCCTCGAATTTCATCGAAATTGGAAATTGTCGATTCCGCGTGGCATCGTTATTCATTATTTACGTTTTATATTTTCGGTCTTTTCACTTTCCAACATTCAAACGTAAGTTCAAGGGAACAATATTACACTTGGAAAGAGTACCTAAGGCAATCGTTTTCCACCATTGATCCAGACGGTATATAATTGTTGATCCTCAATAGAGATGGTCGACAACCTGCGGCTATTTAGCTAAATTATCGCAGCTCCTGATCCGTGCGAAATAATTTAACTCAAATTTCCATTCAATTGCTCCCAGTTTAAGTAAATTTATAAAAGAAACGTGCACTGCAATTTTCAAACACGAATTCTTTTTTTAATTTTAGGTTTCTAATAGCGTCAGCCCAGGAAGACTACAAACATATTTGCAGGTTTACATATAATAATATATATATATGGATATTTGTACCGTTATATACATATATTAGGTTGATCTTTAGCTGTAAGTAGACTGCGGATATTTTATGCATTTATGAATAATTTCAATTCCCCCCCAAAAAGTACAGAATGCACTTAACATGCAAAAATAGAAGAAATACCTAAAATAAGGTACGAATACTTAGGAGCTGAAACAACCCCCACTACAAAGCTCCCATTTCATTAATTTGCATAATGACTAGCTTTAAGTATTGTGATATTAGAGAAATACAATTTTTTATCCGTAATAATATATTTTTTAGGTATCAAGAATATAACAGGGCATCGTAAAACAAAATGGCTCCTGCATTTAGAATCCCTGGGTGAAACGACGACGATTGGTCAAGCTCGGTCGAGCAAAGAAAATAATTTCGACTCGAAGATGTTGATTTTGCTTGTATTTTTGCTTGGATAATCGCGCGGAAACGAGAGAACGTCGCAGGTTGTCGCGATCGGAGGCGTTTCGATCGGCGAGAGCCATTGTACGCGCGATCTTTTGATTTTTACGGCCGATCAGATGCCCGTTCCGCGAGAGCAGTTCTCGAGGGAGAAAACAGAGGGACGGAATCCCTGTTTGTAAGTAGAAAGACGATCTCCTCGAGGTTCGTTGAATTTTAAGGTCCTCTTTCCAACGACGGTGGCTGGATATGGAGGAGAGAAGGCTTCGGGGAAACTTTGTCGATTGCCGTGGCACGAAGGGTTATTGCATTGCAAAATTGTTTTCGGAACTTCTTTATTGACTGAAACTTGGAGGCATTCCATTATTGCACGTCGTATATATGATTCTTCTCGCGCCTCGACGTTATACGGGAATGTTAAAAGGAAAGGTTCACGATCTTGGGAACACGTAAACACTCCGGGAGGATAAAAAGAAGAAGCTTAACTCTTCGCCGTGGAGGTATTTGACCCGTTAATCGGCGGAAGACGAGCTAACTCGTATCGAAAATGCTCCTGCGTTTGGCAAGTCGGCACTGACTTGTCGCCTGGAAGTTCGGTGATTACGTTTAATAGAAATTTCTATTTTATTCGCGTATAGGAGAATTTAAACCCCGTTTCCATTTGCTCTGAATCTGATCGAACGTTAGAGCGTGCAGAAATATTTAAATTAGTAAAATACAGCGTTCGAATACTGTCGTCGAGCAGACCTATTTACATTCGGGCTGGAATGGAAACGGTGCAATAATTTCCATCGGTAACGCGTGCGTGTCGTTGTGTTGTATCTCGCTTAAAGACTCCTGTCGAGGTAAATTAAACCACCGGTGTCCGGTTCAGACCGGAGAAATGTATGGCACAGGTCCGTTTTTGGCCCAACAACCAAAAGCTGGCTCTTATCGATTTCGAGTGACGCGACAGTAATCGGGACGAATGGTCCTTGGAAGTTCGTTTCCTAAATGACGAACGACGAACGCGGGGAATTCGAGTGCTAACAATGATTTAAAGAGGGACGTTTCGGTGCCTTTTAGGAGATATTGGGCGTCGATAAAACGCGCACGAGTCCTGTATAGATTTTAATTATGGCGTACTCATATACGACCAGGAATAATTAACTTGGTTTAGTCGTAGACTTCAAAGCGTTTAGTCGTTCTCTAATGGATCAAGACAGTGTTCGAGCAATCATTACACAGCTTATCCAAATTATTTTCCTCGAAAATTTCGAATACGTACGAATTTTATTAGCATTTCGCGAGTGAACTCGGAGGCACGCTGTCCATCAAACTGAAACGCAATTTAGGAGTTGAATCGCGATCCGCAGGGACGTGAAGTTGCATCGAGCAACCATTTCGTTTCACGCCGACTGTAAAAGGTTTTGACTAAGCTGTCGTGCCCCGAGACAGTCTTTTCCCCAAGTTCGCGGATCATCCGCTGATCAACTCCATCCAACTATTATCAGGGATGGTAACAAAGACGCTTTTATTTTCACTCGTCCCTTCCTCCCTCCCCGTATCGTCGATCGTAAATCGTCGCGGAAGCTGCGAACGTCAAGAAAGCTTTAAGTGTCTTTTTAACGCGCTCGAGCAGGTCGAAAGTAGATCCGCGATGCGTCGGGTTTTACGATGAAAACCTCGCGCGTGTGTCTGCGACTCCGAAGAAAGCCAGGCGATGTACAATGCGCGCCTTCGAGCGTACAATTTCCGCGGCTTTGTCAAGAGGAGCGTTTATATCCGCGCGGGCGATAAACTATCTCGTTTGTCCCGGAGAAGGGTTTAAGGTGACATCGGACAACTTCATGGTCCTACCCCGTGAAACGAAGAAATGCATTTCATTCGACTGCATCGGTTCGCGTAGCGAGTTTATGGCCCATCACGACCGATCTTGTATTTAGATTGTACACGAACAAGGCGGCCATTAAACGCCGTTGGTACGGAACGAGCAATTAAAATGCAATGTTAAACAGGATATCCTGAATTTTTCGCGATTTTTTTTTCTTTGGATATATTGTTAAATTTTATTTTATTTTGACTCCTCGAAATTAAATATCAAAGTTTCATGATGTTGTGGTGAGAAACTGGGATTTGGGAAACAAGGAAATATTTAAAAATTTTTATAATTTTCATTTTTGTTAATATTTAAATAGGTTCGGTGCAAAGCAGAGCAACCACTAAAAAATAAAAATAATATGGATTTGTTTAAGCGCTCGCCACATGGTTGTGTATGTCTAGATATTGTTTCATGGGGAGTTTGAGTTTCGAGTCGAATTCCGAAATGGTTAGTTATTATTCGCAAAATGATGGGACTTGGAAGTCCGCTATTTTCTTGAATTTCGTTCATCTGTGCATTAATAACAGCCACCGAGCCGCTATCCCGGCGCTTCATGCTCGATAGAATATCGAACGGCCTCGTGAATATTCCGGTTTATTTCCGAGTAGCGATCGGTTCTTTACGACATATTTTTTACGTCCACTAAATCATAACGATCGTTTCGACGAAAGAGTAAAAAGCCACAAAGAAAGTCCGCCGCGCCGATAACAGAAAGGAAATGCATATTTCATCGTTCCATGAAAGCGTTTTCTGATCCTTCAATCTGGATCTCACGGTGGACGCAATATTAATTACAATAATTCCTATAATCCTTTTCTCGTTGGACGATTCGCTTGCAATCGGTTTACCGTAAATTCAGATCCCTCTATGCAAGAACTTAGCAATAATAGTACATTACAAGGCCCAGTTATTGATTCACACTGTTTTCATGAGCGTAATTGACTCAACGATACCTGTGCTATTTATTATAAAATGTAATCCCTTCCAGAACGTTTGAATAATCTCGTTAACGTTTGATACGCGGCTGGAAAAAAAATTTCACACGGTGTAATAAATAATTTTTCTATCGATGCTTCGGTTCTCTGTAATGTTTAACTCGTCAGCAACGGCCCCGGAAGCAGATAAGGTTGAGTCCAATTTTCCACAGTGCCGCCATGGGACCGCGGCATCTTTAACGCTATTCGCGTAGCCAGTGCCGGTTGAAATATCGTCTTGTAAAATATGAAACTGGCCGAGTTCCATCGTCGACGTTACGACGGCGTACGTCCGCCCCCAAAGAGAAATAGCTACATCGTTTCTCGGTTAAGAAAAGAATGGGGAGGCAAAAGAACAACAGGCGTCGCGACCTCTTCTTCTATTATTATTTGAGAGCTTCGTTCGTCTTTTTTGGATTTACTGGAAAATTCTTCGCGATGCGCTTTCGTCGAACGATATATCTTTGTGGTCTGCGGAGACGCAGAAGGAAACTCCACGTAATATCAGAAATTTGCCACCAGTTTTATGACGGTGTTTATTTAAAAACCGATTTCAGAAACAATCTTATCTAGGGTCGAGTATTATCTTTACAAAATTCATGTATTTACAATTTCGCACGTTACCTGTACAAAAAAAGATTCTTATCATACGATGAAACTTTTTCGTTCTCTATAACAAATTTTAATAGTAGCATTTCCGTGAACAAAAGATTCAATTTGTTTCAAAACCACTGCTTGGCTCGTCTAAGAGTCGCCTATACTAGATCACATTAAATGGGTGAAAATTAAATTAAATTTTGTAGAAATAATTCATCAGGTCACCTGGTGATCAACGTACGTTTAAACAAATATAAATCGTTTACCTCCCGAACAAAGACTCGGGTGGAAAAGTTTTATTCTATATTTTCGATTCGTTTCGTTCAAACGTTTGTCACTGAAATGAAAACACATCTATTTGTCCTTGAGTAGTTTGCGTTGGATTTCTTGCAAAGACAGTCCCTTCGTCTCGGGCACGGAAACGAGCGTGTAGGGCACGGCTGTTAATACCGCCAATCCGTAAAAGAGAAACACATACTTTTCGGTCAGCAGACCTAACAGAGGCAAATAAGTGGTCGTTGCTATGAAGGAAAAAAGGCCGGCGGAACTGCTGCCGAAAAACGCCACTATGCATTTTTGGTGGGGCGGAAATAACTCGCTCAACACGGCGGGTGGCACAGGAAGCATACCCACGAAGATCATCATGTAAAAGAAAACCATCGCGAAGATCGACGTTCCTTCCAGTATCTTTGGATCGATATCGTGGTCCAATAAATGGAACACAACGGTCAACAGGCACAAAGACACCGAGATACCGATACACGATATTATCATGAGGAACTTTCGTCCGAATCTGTCCATGAGAAACACGGACAGAACGGATCCAACGATTCCGAACGTCATCACTATTATCACTATTTGCGATGGCGGTACCGTGGTGACTCTGGCCATCGTTAAAATCGACTCCATGTAGAACAGGATATTATTGACGCCGCTCAGCTGACTGAACATCATCAGGATCAGGAAGACGAGCAACGATTTTCTATACTGCGGTATCTTGAACTCTTTCAAAGTAGCCAGGATCGGTTGGTCGCCGAGTTTCTCGATAAAGTTACGAAGCACCACGTATTCCATCTCCACGTCGCAGCCGGGGTGGTACCAGCGAATCGACGCCTTCGCTTTCTCGTCCAGCTTCTTTCTGATGAAGTGATGCGGGGATTCCGGCAGCCAGATGAAGAGGATCATCAGCAGGATGCCGTGGGCCAGACTGATCGTGCTGGATATCGGCATGGACAAGTACGCTCCCATGATGCTCATGAGAAAGTTTCCGAACGGTATGCCAGTCATGCCGAGAGCGACCAGCGCACCTCGGATGCTGGGATCCGCTATCTCGCCCACGTAGAGAGAGAAGCAGCTGAAGGCCATTCCGAGGGTCATGCCGCCGAAAACTCTGGCTACGTAGAGCCACACGACGCTATCCGCCACGATCTTGCACGTCCAGCACAACGTCACCACCACCAGGGTGACCAGTATCGTCGTCTTGCTCCCTAAATAATTGACGCACAATGAACCTATAACGGCCCCGGCCATTCTACCGACATTCAGCAACGATACCACCCAGGACACTTCCGTTAATGTGAGCACGAATTGCGAATCTGGCGACATTAACAGCGGAATGTACGGAGAAGACCAGCTCGCCATCATTCCCGGTTGAACCATCACCAGCGCAACTGTGATCAAGTTAGACGATTACCATCTCGAATACGAAATAACACGGTTGGAAAGGCGTCGAAGGAAATCTGTGTTTCTCTTTTCTTAATTAATATTTGCGTATCGGTGATTTATTTACCTCCGATGCCGGCGATCCATTGCGGCCATGTCGCGTTTCTGGGCAGCTTGATATTCGTTTCCTGGACCATGATCGTACCTTTCGAGGCATCAACCGACTGATATTAGACTTATTTGCATCGGAAGAATATGCCTTCATAAACGCGATGGAAGATTAAGTTTACCTCTGAACGATAAGATAACGGATGTGTACGTTGTTGCGTATCACCTTTTCTCGATTAATAACATGCACATGTGGGTTTCGATGTTGGTTTTACACTCCCGGGGAAGAGTTAATCGAATTAAATTGGACGGACGTTACGAGCGTCGGTATTAATATCTATTTTTCGACGAAGTGTTATCGTTAAAGAAATTAATTCCCATAATATCCCGACAAATTAACAAAGTAGTCGTAACAAACTTTGCTAGCTCGAAACGCGGAAATCGCTTTGGTTTCTTCGTCGTGATCGATGCATTTCGCGACGTCGTATAGTATAGTTTGGAAAAATTAGTGGCAAATATGGAATATTTATTCTAGTGTCAGACTCCCTTTAAATAAGAATTTATTTGAAATTGTTGTTTACAATGGAGTGCAGGCTTCCATTGTTTTCTTTTCGCATCTCATAATTCAACGGGTCTTCCGAACCAGACTCCATTAGTATTTTAACATTAAACAATGTCGAATAATAGCAAATATGCTACAGAGTTCCCCTTTAAAATTTGAAATTATTCGCGGTTATCCTTTTCTCGAAAAAAATTTTGTTTTTACATAAATTGCATAACTTAAAATGCATCGTAATGAACGAATTCTGTGCTTCTCGGTGAAAAGTCCTGTCATCCGTATATCAGTGACGGTGTCAGTCAATGAATCAAAGACTATTTATGTTTGAGGAATCTTAATAATTTGTGTGTTTGCCAGAATCCATTGTGTATTGACTAGGTATATCAGAACACTCTATAAATCAAGAAATCTTATTTGCATAAATAAGATTCGCAATTTTAAATATTTCTACTCCTTGTTTGATAGATACTGTCTTGCGATTACTTTCCGCGATAAGATAACAGCACATGTAGTTCCATAGCAAATACGCGCGACTATTGTGAGATGCACAATTGGATTTCTCATTTTCGTGTTTGCAAAATGAATTGTACGCGAAACTGTACAACGATCGTTTTTATTCCGTATAATGCACACTTATGTGTAATACAATTTCCACTTGCTTGTAAGTAATATCATTAATCTCTTCGGTCAACAGAGTATCGATTTGCACGTTACCATTTTTTTCATTGTTGTTATTACATTATCTTCAATTTTAAATTCTGCGAGTCGAAGGTGGGTTTGTCTGCGCCTCATAACCGACATTTAACATTTCTTGAATTTCCTGAAAACGTCATTGATCATACATTAAAATTAACAATTGATTTCTATAAAATTTAGAAAGATTTTTTTCTGGATACTTTTGTGTCCAACAGTGAGTCTCAGAACCAATGCAGTAATCGGGTGAAACGTTGAACGAGGGTGTTAAGATTAGATTGAAATTACCTGTAGGGTCTTCCCTTTAGTTTCCGGTACATTGAGCACCGAGTATATGAGGCCAAGAATCATTAGGATCGCGTACATCCAGAAAACATAAGTCTCCGACATCAGTACGGATAAGGGATGAAAAGTTTTGCTGCTGATAAAAGCGAACAACGCGGACGTGAAGCTGGCCATGAATCCGGCTATGCTCTTTAAATCGGACGGGAAAAGCTCCGCGAGCATCGTGCTGGGAACCGGCGCCACTCCGATGGATATCAACGTGTAAAGCATCATCGCGATGATCGTCATCCACTCGAGATTTTTCGGGTTGTAATTATGGTCCAGCAGCAGGAAGTGTAATCCCAGAAGGATCATCGCGATGATTATACTGATGCACGATATTGCCATCAGAAGCCTTCTGCCACACCGATCCATGAGATAAACGCCGACCCAACCGACGATTATACCTGTACACGTATGCGACGCTCAGTATCGATTCAGAAACGCGCGAAACAAACGGCAGTTAGCCATATTCTGTCTGTGATTGCGAAAACACTCGAGGACCTTAAAATCCCGTGATACGGGATAACGTTGAATCCGATCAACAGTGTCTCTGGAACGTTCTAATCTAACGCTACAACTGTCGACCACTTATGTGCATCGTCGAGGGACTGTATATTAAAATTGAGAAGTTATAAAAATTAGCTACATAATTTTTGTGAAATACCAAACACTCCAGAGAGTATCACGACGTCCGGTGGTCTCATCCCCGTTACTTTCGCCTTGGTGACTATGACTTCCATGTAGAAGACGATGGTGTTGAGTCCACTGAGCTGCATTATTACGAACAGGATCATGACCATGATGAATATTTGTCTGTTCCTCTTCTCGATGGACTGCTTGAGTTTGTCGAGGAACGTGGTGGATTTCGCGGATTGAACGAACTCTTGGATGATCTTCAGTTCCTCGCTGACGTTCGATTTTCTGTGGTACCATTGGATCGTTCTCTTCGCCTCCTCTATGTCGTCCTTGCGGGCGTAGAAATACGGGGACCGTGGCAGAGCAATGAAGAACCCGATGTACACGACGTTCAGAATCAAGCTGATGATCGCGAACCACATCATCGATATGTGACTGCCCATCGTGTTGCCGATCAGCATCCCAAATGGCATTCCGTTGATTATCATGGCGACCAACGAGCCACGGATATTCGGGGTTGCAATTTCCCCGATGTACAGGGAAAAGGAACTGAAGAAAACGCCGAAGGAAATTCCTACAAAGCGATCGGGAAATGAAAGTATATTACGAAAACAAGAACGAAACTTGGAAAATGGTTTGGTACTCGTCGACATCAATATATTCTAGACATTATTTTTCGTCCAATACAACCGATAGTCTATTTCGAAAAACATAAATGAATTTTCTTGGAGAGCTCTAGCTTCCAGAAAACAAATTTACTATCCCCTTCGGTGGTAAACAAGATCATTCTTCATACGATAATTGATTCCCGAAGCAATTAACCGGAAAGTCGTTTTGTCTGGGTCAAGTATGGCAGAACAAACATTTCCCAGTTATTGTTAAGTTCAAACACATGTATATATATATCTGGACAAATGTGTGCTTCTCGGAGGAGCACTTAGAACAGTCATCTCTCATAATCGCGAAGGGACGCGTCCCAGAGAGACGGAGTCTAATAGTTGCTCTCCTATGGCAACAGACTTATGATCAATTTCCTTTGCTCACCCGTTTCCCCGACTTTCCGAGCGCAATTTTCTGATTAATTACTTCGGAAACAGTCGTAGGAAGAATATGAGGATGCTACGCTTTGATTAAACGAGCCGTGTTCGCGTTATTATATTCCAAACATCAGCTGTGTTTATTGCAACTCTCGCGACTCGATTAACTGTTCCTTGAACTTAATTTATTTTAATTTGGAATCCATTAATTCACAACGTGTTTGTTGTTAGAAATGTTTACTTTTTGGGAAGTACAGTGACCATTTTCAAACAGCGAAAAATATGGGGATGCTTACCCGAGGCAAATCTAGAGATATAGAGCCACTCGGCGGAATTGGCGCATAATATACAAATCCAGCCCAGCAGTAAGGGCCCGCCAGCCGATAGAAGGGCCCTTTTGCTTCCCAAATACTCGACAATAACCGAACCAGCGCACGCCCCAAAAAGACGTCCCAATGGCAACAGCGAGGCCACCCATGACGCCTCGTGTTCCGTCAAATACAACGACGAGCTCTTATCAGTCAGTTGCGCGATGTAAGGCGACGTCCATCCAATCACGAGTCCCAAACTGATAGATAACACGGTCACTATGGTAAAATTCTCAATTGATGTCGTACAAATAATTGTTACGCGATTTGTATTATTATCTCTCTACGGTATGCAAAATGCTTGGAACTCGAGCCTAAATCAATCTGATCTGATCTGATTTTCAATACGAGTAAACTTCATCACTGTCAAATGCTTCGCAAAGAATTCAGTTTGTCTTATTCAACATCATTCTTGAATTTTAATCGTATAATTGTTCGACCATGTGTATGGAAAGTGTTGTCAGAGATTTTTGATACGTGAATCAAGATTACATTGGATGAATTGTTGTTTTTGAAAAGGGTTTGACAGCTATCGGAGAACCAAGAATTTTTCTAGTACTCCCGAAACCTATGATTCGCAGAAATTCGCAAACGTTCGCTAACCTGTCAAGCAGGCAGCCCACTGTGGCCACACTCCAAGCAGAGTTTCCACTATTTTCGGCGGCATCGGTTTAACGAGCGAAGCAAATAGTCTGATGGGTCCTGCTTTCCTGTCGCCGCGGCAAATCCCTTCTCGCAATTGATTTATATTTTCTTGTTTTCTCAATACATTTCTTGCCGTCTGGTCTCGTAAACATGTGACGTTCACAGTCTAAACAACGGGACATTATACGCTGAAACGTCATCGCTGTCATGAGATACGAAAATCGCGCATCTTCACGTGCAATATTTCAATCGAGATTCGTGTTCGCGAGCTGTCGCTGGTCGCTTGTACTCTCGGTGCTAACAATATCGTTCTTTTTTCTATCGAGCAATTACGAAAAATGACGATAACAAAAAAATTGTTATTCATCGATGTCGTTTAAACAGTCGTCGATAAAATTCAATATATCTTTGACGGCTAATAATAGTAAATAGAAAAGATTCCGCGAATATTGTGCAGCAGTTTAAAGTTCGCGTAACGCGAGACCGTTTTCCCAGACGGTGAAAATAGCGTTTCATCTGGGAACGTGAAATATCCGTGTATTGTTAACAAAGTGCATTCCGGAATGCACTGGTCGTGCAGACGCGCGCGCAGAAGGTGTGGAATTACTCGGGGAAAAACATTAATGCGCTCGCTACTCACCGCGTCTGAAAATCCTTGCACTCCCTCTCTTCGTAATAGATGTTTATTTTTGCTTCCTGGGCATGGTTGCATTCTTCCAGCGGGTACATTGTCCCGCAGGATTTTTTCCCTTTTTCAATCTCTCGAAAAGGTACACTCGCAAAGAAATAAACGCTATCGCGGGTAATCGATTAAATTGTATAAGAAAAAGCGAAACGATCTGTTAGAAGAACTCTAAAATGAGGATTTTTACTTTTAAGATAGATTTGTTTGGTTTATATTGCTTGTAAATAACGTTCCAGTAAATTTAGAGCAAAGTTTGCACCCCGTTAACGAATCACGCGATATTTGAGTAAAATTTGCACAGTCATCGAGCTAATTTCGGAGGAATTTCTAACGCTTTGCCATCTTGTATGTCATTATCTTTGGGTATACGAAGCTCTATGGCCGTGGAGAAGCTGATTTAAATATTGATGGGGAAGACCCCTCGTCGGTATTTATTCAAAACGACAACAGGTACCGGAAGTGGCGGAGCGTCGGGGGTGGGGGACGAGGATTGGTACCGTAAGCTGCAGAACTCGTTCGGTTTAGCAACAACGGTAGTCGGTAGCGAAATTCCTTTGGAAGTTAGACGGTCGTAGGTCCCTTTTGTGTCTTACTTCTGTCCATGTAGATCAGAGGGGGGCCGACTGTAGCCGCATTTCGGGCGAGGCATCGCGCGTTTTCAGTCCGTGGCAGTTATTTGGCGTCCCTCGGGGCAGTCCGGCGCAATCTGGGAACTTCAATATTTGATACATGCGGTCGGTTGTATGGCTCGGGTCTTCGAACTAGTTTCGCCGCGTGACTTGATGACGTGCAAATTGGATTACTTGCCCTCGGGAACCGTATAATTGAATTTGACCAGGTGTGCTTATCATCGAATGCGACTGCGATCTGATCGAAGGCATGCGGCCCTGATCACCAGCGTGGCTAAGAACGTCGAAAAACATTCCGGTCGCACCTGGGAACGAAGAATCGAGAACTGTTTGAGTTTACACGAGCGTTTAACGCGTATCTGTCGCGCACGGTTCCCGTGGATCGAGCTTGATTTACGATCCACCAACGTGTATGCTATAACCGTACGGATCTTATTCTCGGGATTCTAGTTTCGCTCCGCCGGCACAATATCGCAACATCGAGCGCACGCTCGAATATTTTTCCATTTTTATATAATCCAATTCCTTTCTTTGGCGCTCGAAGAAATCTAAATAATTTTATTTGCAAGTTTATTTAGAAGATCTCGCCAGAGTTACGCGGGAAGAAAGCTTTCCCGTTATCGTACGCGGAATACTGCCTCCTCTGTTCACTTAATGCGCCAAGTTCCGTGTAATTTCGTCAGCTTACGCTTAAGAGTGTCGTTTAATTAATCTCCCCGTAGGGCACTTTTCATCTTTTACGATGCTCGGCGAACTTTACCCGAGGCATCAAACAAACGTCACGGCGGAACGTGTTTCTGCAAAGTATGTGCCTTGGGAACGATTCGATAAGTTATTAAGAAACAATTTCAACTTACGAGCGATTGGAATACAATTTGTATATTCCGCGGCAAGTCCAAAGCACACGTTCTGAATGTTTCATTCGGTCTTTCGAGACTTTAATTAGCATCCGTATGAAAAATTCCGCGCAAATGACCGTGCAAATTAGCTGTGAATTTTTCAGCGATCGCAGACTCGGAATAGAAAAATCTCGGATACCGGTTGTACCTCGAAGGTGTTGATAGTTACGAGGGACGCGAGCAGGAAAGGGCGGGCTACATTTTACTTTTAAGGAGACGACGAAACATGGCGGGGGGCGTGGACTTAGGTGCTCATAAACCGGTCGCGTATAGGTAATACGTTGTATGTGCCCCGTACCTGCAGACGTGTTTTTCTTGTTTCCTCGTTGCTCTTTAATCTTGGTTCTACCCTTCGTCCTTCTTATCTTTCGCCGCGTTCTCTCCTCCCCTTTTCTGCGCCTTCGTCCTTCCTATCTTACCGTTCCTTCTCTCCTTTTCCGACGACCAAGGAAGGCAAAGATAAACTGATGTACCGGAGAAAGGAGTTCCTGGTGTATAATGTAACGTTTCGAAAGCTATCACTCCCCGAGGTAAAAGGAAGTGGCTGCTCGGACGTTGAAAAGGATTGAAGGTAAAACCAGGCAGTGGAATAGGTAATGATAGAGGAAACTGTAAAGAAGACATTCTCTTGCCCCGTTGTAACCTTGCTCTTTCGCCTCTCGATTACTCCGACCTTTAGTACTTTGGTATCGAACGTCGAATTTTCCAACGATCGCGATTATTTTGCGATAAATTCAATTTTTTGGTCGTTTGGTAGGCACAATCGATGTTTCATTCCGTAAAATTTGTAACATTTATTCAAATTTAGAATATAAAAATTGGACAACATTCGTTGTATAGTAAGAGAAAGACTCGAAACTCGTGCATTTCCTCTTTGGTATTTATTATTTCTTACGTGCAGAATTATCCGCTTGTTATCAAGGATTCAGCACATGTAATCTCCTGCAGTAGAGAGATTTACAACAAGGAAAGATGGATTATACAAAACTTCCCCCGGGATTAGTTCTCTGTTTTATGCAAAGATCGATGAGAAATTCCCTTTCGCGAGGATTTAGCAATTGATTTTCTTCCCTTTGTGTGTACCTCGAATGGCGTGTTACAGTTTCTTTAACGAGAATATTTTTAACGGATGTTTCGTGAATTAAAGTTGCTTGAAAATGTTGATCCGGGTATCCATGAACAGTAATATCTTTAGCAGAAATATAATTGGATCGGAATAAAAATGCAGTTCAACGAAATATTTAATATTTTTCTTAGTTGCAACTATTAACCCTAATTGTAATTTGCTGATTTTCGGACGAACGTGCATTAGGTGCCATTGTAAATGCAGTTGACCAGCTCGAATCACGGAATTCTGAATCACGCCATGATTCAGGCGCCGTCAATTTCGGTATCTTTCACGATATAATCGTAGTCCTGTAGGCAATAATTTTGCCCACATTCCCCCAATACCAGTATCATATCCGCAATTCCAGCGTGTAATCTGGCATCGTTCATAAACGTGATCAAACGTAATAACATTGCAGTAAGGAGAGATCCAAAGAAATCCTACAAAGATGATCCAACGATCTACAAATTCCTGCCAACCAAACTTCCATATTATATTTAGAAGTTTCCATTATAAAAAAATGTTTGAAATAATAAAAATTGAAAACTAAAACTGTATCTCGTTTGACAAAATTTAGCGAAGCATAAGAAAGTGTTATTACACATATTCGGTTATTAATTTCACGTTCCCTTGTTGCTTTCTCGAATGCTCGACTGTATCGAATAATTAGATAGCTCTGGTACGAAATATTGATGAATAGAAGCACACAAATGGTGTCTATGATCTTCAGCAATTGGCGTCTTGCGATTCCGAGTGTTTGCTCTCTCACTTTCGGTCTCCTTCGATCTACACTCGGTTTCCGGCGACATTCACCGCGAATCTGTCGAGCACGTTGTCCCCTCCGCGTTTACCGAGTACATCGCGAAATTAAATTTCAATTTTCTTACGCGGCGATGCAAGATGGTGATCGATCGAAACGGGGATTTTTCTGGGGCGAAACGCTCGAACCAGTAATAACAAAGGAACGGGAGAAGTATAGAAATAGGAGTCGTTTGATGAAATACAAACGTACGGGAATACAGAACTCGAAGGTCTTCCAATTGGCGCGCCTGCTGTTATTACATGGGATACTCGATTGTTAATCGCGTATATACAGAAATCCGGATAATAGTATTTTCATTTTCAACTGGGCGGGATAATGCGTGGAGAATTAGTCGTAGGTGTTACGAGTTAACGAATCATAAATTTGGAAGCTAGGTTTATCAAATAATTGGTTTTGCTGGTTATACGATTGCATAATAAAGTGTAAAGTAATTAAATTCTTACAAAGCGTGTTCCTTTTGTTATATCAATAACGTTGATTGTAGGTGTACCAATCCATTTATTATTTCTATTTAAAATTATCGGAAAATTTGAATTACAAATGGGAAAAAATCTTATTGAAGATATTCCAGAATTAAGTTGCTTTTTGTTTCCATTATTTTAATATCATCCGAATCGAATTTATTCTGATAATTTCTGTCGCGTTTTCTGAACGTTGTGCAAGCAGTTTACCGATTTATTGTTCTAGAAATCCAATGAATAATTTTCTTAGCGCTTTAATCATTTAATTACACACAACAAGTAAATTTACATTCAATTTTATTATTTAATTTCTCGTTCGTGCTTTTCACCGGTACAATCCGATAAACAGAATATCGGAGAAATTCGTGGTACGGCTAATACCGTGACAGTTTGAATAAAGCTGATTCATTATAACAG